TGGAGAGTAAGTCAAGCAGTGAAAGTCATGAATTAATTCCTCAAATTTTTCTCATTTTAATATCCTTAACTCACTGCTGAGTTCGCATGCAAAGCAAGCAGTCTTGAGATTCAGAAGAAGAAGGTTGGAAATAGCCCGTGCGGTCCTGGGCAAGCCGCTGAGCGTTCATGACACAGTTCTCACTTGTAGGTGGAGGACTAGAACAAGATAATTCCTTGTGTCCTCTTCATCCATCAACATGTCTGCCAGTGGATGTGAACTCAGAATGACCCCTGATGGCCATGAGTCACTTCACACTGCCTGAGTGGGCAGCCGTTCCTCCCAACCATAGAGCCTAAAATTGGAGAAAGTCAGAACTGTCAATAATGTAGTGGCATCCTCTTGGCAGTTCAGGTCAAAACTCTCAGAGAGAGAATGAAAGGATTTGATTTTATCATAGCATGGCTGTCATGAACATGGCTCCTAGGTGTCACACTCTTATGAGTTAGCTTTTAGAAAAGCATTTACCTTCCTAATAGGAATGTATTCCATTCATCAGAAAATTTTCATTTTAGTAACTATCTTGGTTTCCTATGGGCTACTTTAAAATTTTTTGTTTTGATGAGAGAACATGTACGTATGTGAATGTGAGTTGCCTGCAGAGGCCAGAAGAGGGTGTCAGATCTGGAACTGGAGTTACAGGACTGTTGGTGGTCGCCATGTGGGTGCTGGGAACCAAACCTGGATCCCCTGCCAAGGGTAGGAAATGGTCTTAATCACTTGGCTACATTAAAAAGTACCCCAAACTGGGTGACAAAATAGCATAAATTTATTTCTTCACAGGCCCTAAGACTACAAGTCTACAAGTCTAATTCCAAATTTTTGTGTGTCATCAAGGCCAGGCTCTGCGGTTCTAGGGGAGGGTCCTTCCTTGTCTCCCCAGGTGTCTGTTTAGCTCACCTTACCCAGCCCATGTGTCCTCCCATTTTGTTCTTCTATGGCATCATTTGCAACCTTCTGATGCTATCCACAAAGTAATTAAGACTTGAAGTTTGTCTCGAACGCTTCCTAGCTCATTCAAGTAGCTAAAGTCTGAAGTTCCCATGACAAAACCTCCTCCAAGGCTCTCCATCCTCAAGAGACTTCTTTTCAAACAGGATTTTAAAAGTCTGGAAAAAAGGGAACAACAGCCTTTTCCTCAAGGCCTCTTCTACATCACAGTGTCCTCCAATCCTTCACTACTTTGAGTCATTCTTGTTCGTTATTGACAGTATGGTTCCAGTCACCCCTTCCAGGATTATAATTCCATCTACCCCTCTGCCAGGTGACTATTGGGGACTACATCTAGGCTTTCCTCGTTGCTAGCCAACCTCTCTACAACTGAGCTATATCCCCTGTGACCTTCTTATTTGTATTAAAGACACGTTCATTCTATCTACCAATCTTTAGAAGTTAGGTTCTGCTGGGCATCTTTCACTCTTTGTCTCCCTCATTAATAGCCTGCACTCAGTGGTTCTGAGGTTTACAAGGGAGAAGCCATGTAAATCATTGAGCACTTTCACCAGACACAGAGTAAGTTTGATTATGTAAGCTAGTTAATATTTTATGGCTTTGGGTGAATCAGTGCTATAGCTGTCTCCAAGTCTTCCTTTTTATTTCTCAAAAACCACTCATCCCTGTCCATCCTTGCTCTTCTCTGGGACTTCTTCCTATCAAAGCCCACTGCCTCCCATCTGGACCAGGAGTGGAAACTCCACACTGCTCTCCTTTGTCTCCAGTCTCTGCCTCCACTTCCTAGTCCATCTGGAATACAAGATCCAGATAGCACTAATGAGACGCTAACCTGGATGACATCACCTGACTGCTCAGAAATGTCAGTGCTTTCCTGTTGGCTCACCTGGAAACCATCCCTTCCTGTCCAGTGTCACTTTATAGTTCCAGTGTGTCTCCTGTCACCATGTTCCAGCCAGACTATCACAAAAGTCTTGGGCACTCGCACAACACCAGGTCCCTTTCTTGGTAGATACCATCCTCAGTCTGGAAAGTCCCTGTTGTCCCAAAATAGCAACCTTCCTCACTGTACAAAGACCCTTTCCTCCATGAAAGGACTTCTTGTGTTTCTCTTTTTCTGCTTTGAACCACACTACCCCGACTCACATACCCTTTCACAGGGCATCTATTTGTCTCTTATGTTCTTTTCTGTTTTCCCTCTAAAATATCATCTAGTGTTTCATAAGTAAAATCCACCCAATAATTATTCGTTGACTAAAATTTTACACCTTTCTGACTTTAAGGTGAGAGACATTTCTGTTTCAAACAGATGGAGAAATATAGTATATGGGGTTTCTTTGGCCTAATCTTGATGCTTTCTGATCCCCCTCAAACATTGCTTTTGTGCAGGGTAATTTAATGGCATAGATTTTCTGATTCTGCCTTTTGCCTTTCTAACTGCAAACTACCTTACCCCAATGTATCACCTGTTCCAATTTCTTGCCTTAACCTCTTAAAATTCAACTGTTCTCTTATATAGAATGGTGTTTAAGCAAGAAAACACTGAAGAGAATTGCTCTTCTTGAAGGTCTGGTCTGTATCAGGGGGCTCAAACCCAGTTATAGAAAGTGCCAGGAATTAAACTACTAAGTGGCTAGATGTTGGGTACACACAGATCACTGCATTTCAGGGTGCAGCTTGGAAGTCCACAGCATTCAGGAGCTTACTAACATTTGACAGAGGTTGCCATGTACTTAACAATCACCAGTGGAGCTCTGCACAAGAGGATGGTAGTGTATGTACATCAGCCACTGTTTTGAAGTATTTTTTTTTTAATTCTTTTCATTAGACAAGATGAAGCCATCTTTATGACCATGCTGCTGGCATAAAAAGAAGCCACATTATGGGTCAGTGGTGGCAGAATCAGGTAGTGCATTTATTTCATGTGAACACAGAAAAATCACCTGAGAACAGTCTATTTTGCAGAAACACAGATTGAAGTTAACCCTTCAATTGCTGTGATACACTACAGAGCCAGCAGTCTTGCCATGCTGCAACTTTTGATTCTCTTAGTTATGTTCTTTAGGCTGTTTGTATGGATAAATTAGGCAAAGGCGGGTGGGGGGGAGGCTGGACAGATGACCCAGTGGTTAAGAGCACTGGCTGCTCTTGCTGAGAACTGGGTTTAAGTTCTCAACACCCACTTGGTGACTAACAACCATCTGTAACTCCAGTTCCAGGGGACCCTATGCCCTCTTCTGGTCTCTTCTGGCATTGCACACATGTGGTGCACTTACATACAGGCAAAATACATACAATAAAAATACACATACAATAAAAATAAATAAAATTTAAATTAGGTGAAAGGGAAAAATTAACTGTGCAAGTGTCTTCTATGTGTTTGGAATGGCCTTTATTTATCCTACTTAATGGAGTCCCCTTGTAGTGGGTTCTAGGGAGGAAGAGCTGAAACGTAGTCTGAATCCTATGAGCCGTGAACTTCTCAAAAAGCCTGGGGAAAGGTCCAGTGAGACAGAACTGCAGGTTTCTCCCGTGAATCCTCTGTGTTTCTCCAGTCCCCACTATTTTATAACTACTTGTCAGTACCTCCCCTCTTGGGTCTTGATGAGTAAGTGGGCTGGATCCTTCATCAAGAGTGGATGCTAATGGAACCTAACCAGTTTTCCCTATGTACTCGTTGAAATGATTTGCCCTCCTGTTGGGAAGAGAAATAGGACTGAACTACCAGTGCTTGGTGGGCAGTGTGGCAGACTACCAGTGGAGCCAGGCAGCTCTGGGTTTCAAACACCATTGGTTTCAGCTGAGGCAAATTAAGTGGCCTTCTGAGCCCGTTTTCTGCTCCATAAAATGAGCTAACTGCTTCTTGTGAGGTTGCCAGGCACAAGGTTAGGTCCTAAATGAATGTTAGTGTCAGTCCCATTCATCTACACCTCCCCCAAGTCTATCCATACTCTTAAATCGGTGACATTAGAGCACAAGTAATATTTCTTATGTCCCTCTCTCTCTCTTCTCACACAAACCAAACATGTCCAAAACATGTTTTCTCCCTCTGTACTCCCTATGTACCTTCATCCCCTTAGTCCCAATGTATCAACACCCCGTAAGGAGGAAGAGGGCATGCGGACCTGGGTGGTACCTTTCTCCTCTCAGTGGGGTCGTCCTGGGTGAGGATCTTAGGAGGAGTTACACCAAGCTGCTCTGGGTGAAGCAGAGGGGCAGAGAGACGCATCCAGGTGTTTTTGTAGGGTCTTTTCCTTTTCTCCCAGGCCTGGCCCTGGAAGGCAACCTCCGTGCACAGGGTCTGAGGAAACACCCAGGTCAAGGTACGAGCCTGTCCTACACAGGCCGCTGGAGGAAGGGAAGGGACTGTCTGATTCGTAAGCTGTCCTACTCGGAGTTAAAGATTTCTTGCCCGAGGAACAATATCTCCAGCTCGTTCTAGCTTGGCGGATGACTCACACACTGGGAACGGTATAAACACAGGTGTAATAGGGGCCTGCGAAGGACCTGGGTGCCCCAGCATGATTGAAGGCCAGTCCTCCCGGCCAACCCTTGTATTCCACTTGCTAAACACTAAAGTTCAAAGAGGTTGAGCCATTTGCCTCAGGTCTGGTGACGAGGGGCTGACCAGGACCTGGAATCGGTTCAGTATCCGCAGCCTGCTTCGTCCAGCGTCGCCTACTCCGGGGTTAACATTAAGCAGCAGTGTCGGTGCCCCCCCGCCCCCACCTCTGCGCCTCTGATGTTATTGCAATCCAGACCCCTCTCTTCCCGGTTTGGTGCTCTTTCTCCCTCCCCTCCAGGGTCTCGCAGGACCGGCTGGATGGAGGGATGCAGGGCGTGTCTACACCTATACCTACATGCGCATTGTGGAAAAGGAAGGCGGGAGTATAAAGCTAGTCCCTGCAGGACTGAGCAGAGCCACTGTGGAACAGGGGACGCACAGGGGCTGGGCTCGGGTCGGCAGGCGCCCTGATCCGGCTGGGGGCGGAGCCTCGCGGTGGTGAGTGGGAGGGCGGAACCCGGCACGGAGTTCGGAGGGACCGGGCTGGGCTGGGACGGGCCGGGAGGTCGCGGCTGGCACAGCGGCTGGCGCGCAGGCCCGGCGGGGACGCGGGGCGGCGGCGGGGACTGCGGAGGTGAGGCGGGAGCCCAGGCGGGCGGCGTAACCGGAGGCGGAGGGGGCGGAGTCGCGCCCGCAGCTGCGACCCGGCCGCCTGGCCCAGGCAGTCTACACCGCCCGCGGCCGGGCACGCCGTGCGCTCAGACCCTGCAGACAATGCTCCGCGGCGCCTGGCCGACCGGAGGACGCCTCGGCCACCGACCGCAACGCCGGGACAGCGCAGCCCCGAGGTGAGCCCGCCACGCTATCTCCGGGTTCCGCTGCTTTTTTGTCTGGCGAACGTGGCCGCCCGGGGTTCTTGCGGGAGTGGGGCCGATTAGCCCCTGCCGGCGTCCGGGGGTGACAGGCGGCAAGGGGGGCGCGCTGAGAGTCCAGACCGCGTGCGCCCGGCTGTGCCCCAGGTGGAGGCGCTGGGCCAGAGAGACCCGGGAGCCGGAGGGGTGTTTTCTACTCATTGGAGAAATTCTTTGAATTTCTCCGGGGAAACTTTCCTTGAGTTCCGGGAAGAGGGGATAGACTGCTGGTCTTGCTGCTGTCTGAGGCTAGAGATTGAGGCGCTTTGGGGGACTACTTTCCACTGTGAGTATTGTCGGAGGAGCTGAGGGGCAGAGACTGTCCACACTACTCCGACCAGACTCGGGGGTGATAGTTTTGGAGGCTTGGGGACTCGGGCAGGCACCTCTTAGGCATCAGTGGGTCTCTTGAGCCGTGCTGAGTCCTCACCACACCTGGATCATGTTCTTAAGCTTTGTTAGTATCACCCTCTCCCCAGCTGGGGCACTCACACATGCACACGCATGCACGCATGCACTCGGAAAATAGAGGCTCTCGGCTTGCTTGTGAGTCTTATGAACAGACTTGGAGGCCGCTGAGCATTCTCAGATCGCAGCAAAGGCTCACTGTGTGTTCTCCCAGGTGGAGCTCAGCTTGATTTTAAAGAGCCGTTAGCAATAGCCCAAAGGTCTGGAAACGAGGAGTTTTACAATGATTTCGCTTCAGAGTCGGGTTCCGAAGACTTTATTGATTACTGCTCTGAACTATCCCTAATATCCCCTCGCTCTTCCATTCGTAAGAAGCAAATTTGACAGGAAGCCCTGGGGAATTCTGCATTAAGTTAACTTTCTTGAGGAATTCGGCTCCCCTTATTGGTTCAGACTGCAGCGGGTACAAGTCCACAGTCCTCCTGCTGAGATTAGATCGCTCAGCTTTGGAGAAAATAAAAAATAAAAAAGTTGTGAAAATATCATAATTTCCCGTGTTTGGTTGTAACTTCTTACTTTCTGTCAGGTGGGCTGTCTGGCCAATGGAGTGTTGTGAAATGCAGACACCTTCCATATCTAGCCCCCCCCCTTTTGATATTGCATTAATTTCATTGTAAAATATATAGAATTTTTAGATGAGTATTTCTGGAATCTATCAAGGTATGGCATAAGCAAATTCGGATACAAATATGATGAATATTTTGGAGCCAAAATAATTTAGTTTAATGAATCTAGCCACCCTCATTCTTCAGGTTCTTTTTAAGATCGGGTGGTAATGTATCTGACAGTTTCCATCTAGTAAATTGTTGCCACAAACCTGATGCAGAAGTTTGCAGGGGCAAAGCCATTTTTCCATGACTTAGATCACAAAGAACTCTGAGATCTTTTTCTAATTTTACACTGAAGCCTCCTACTGAAATAGGGGAATTTACATAATTCTGGGGTCCGCCTACCCTCAGAGAATGTGGGCCTGGAAGGTGTCTTTCCAGACTGTGGAGAACTGGCACTGCTGAGGGCTCTGCTCCTGCTTCAAGAGTGCCACCTGCGAGCTTTACCATCTTTTACTGAAAGAACTAGATGATTCTGATTCCAGGTGCAGAAGCACAACTGGAAGAGGCTTTTCTGGCTCCACAGACACGGTGGGAAATTCTCTTTGCAGAGACTGAAAAACCAGTTTTAATAGGACAAAGTGAGTCAGTGGTGGTAGGGAGGTAAGAACTTCATTTGTTTCCCTTATTCACTGATTTCCCCCTTAAAACCTGTGTGTCTCTGGGCAGTTGTGTGGTCAAAGTTGTATCCTGCCTACAGAAAGTCCCAGAGTTGAGGATGGGAGCAAAGAGGGTACTCATAAACTCATGAGGGGCCTCAAGAAAACTTCTGGATCATAATCAAGAGCCTCCTGAAGGAACTGTCAGGGCTGTTGGCTGCAAAGGAAAGGGGAGGACCTTAGAAAGTGGGGTGTTTAACCACTTCCTGTCAAGATTGTGTTCCAAATTGACTGCTGAGGAGGAAATGAGATGTGAACACTCAAAACTGTTTATCTGTGAATGTGTGGTAGCCTCTGAGGAAGGGGTGGATGTCAGCCATCTCAGCTCTGCCTGACCTAAAGCTTGCTTCCCAGGAAGCTGAGGAGCCTCACAGGCTGATATCTCTTCCAGGAGCCCACTGAGGGGTGTGGCAGCCTCTTGCAGTAGACTTGGGCTTGACCATGGCTTTGCTACAACTTGGAAGGACTAGTCAGACTTCACATATCATCTTCCCTAGAGTGACATACTCATCACCTTAGAAGACCAATATACTTCCTCAGCCTCCCACCCCTTACAAAATTTACCAGCAAGTCTATAGCTTTCTGGGGCCTGTAACTGTGGAAGAAAGGCAAAGTCTGGCTGTGGCTCCTCCAATTGTGGAAAGCCAGTGACCTCTTCTGGAGGACTTGACTGGGAAGGAACCTGCTATTTGGGTTTGTTGGGAGGAGAAGAATTGAGCCAGCAATCACTAGACAAAGGGACCCTTGCAGTGATTGCAGAAACAGATTTCAGAATGTTCATTTAGTTTAAGCAGTCGGTTTCCTCATTAACTGGCAGGAGTGTGTATGTGGTGGGGGATACATTTGGCTTCTGCACTCATTGGGTAAGCACCTTGTCTGTGAATGTGGGAGACAAGAGAAAGAGTGCTTCCCACAAGTGCTCTGGAATGGTCTTTGGAGCTCCTGGCTAATTCGACCTGGTTAGTCCTGTTGATTGTTTAGAGGGCATCAACCTCAGGCAAATTCTCACCAGGCAAAGTGGAGTATTGACCCAGGGCAAAGCTCTCCCTCTTCAAGGAAAATCTGTTCATTTCAAGTTCTTCACAAGATTTTCTTTCTAGAACATTCTCCTAAAGAATGGCAGTTCATTCTCAATAGGAAAAAAGGAGCAATGAGCAGCAAGCAGATAATAGCAGGCTCCTTGGCATCAGGAATAAGGCAAAGGCGAGGGGAGGCATGTCAGTCAAGTTGGCTTGGCTTTCTAGACCCAGCAAACTTGCTGTCAATGACAGACCACAGCTTGTGTCCTTGCTATAGGATCCTTACCTGCAGAATGGAGATCTCGGCTATTTTATGGGATGCTATCAGATTACTTGGTTAATGTCGTAGCCCTTTGAGCTTCTCTCCCGGGGCGCGGGGCGGGGAGGGTGAATTTGCTGAGGATTATGGGACAAATTGGGCTTTTAGATTTATTTTCAGAAGCAGTGAGCTGTTCAGACAAACTGATCACCTCTCCCTAGAGCTGTGATAGGAAAAAACAACTGTTTGATAACCTCTTCTATCTCTTATATGCTGTCCAGTTTCTCTTAAGACAGGACTGTGGAGCCAAGCATTTCTGTCTTCTGTTTTCATCTTGGCAAGTAGCACCCTGCTTTGTTTAACCTCAGCACTGAGTGGAATAATGCATATTAGGCAAGGGGAGGGAGAAGAATTCCCATGGTGTCAAACCTTCTGACAAGGTGCCCCTGGGGGACAGGCCAGTACCATACCACTCCCTTTTCTTAACTACTTGTCAAAAGTATAGTTTCTGTTCAAAGCCTGTGGGTTATTCTCTGAAAGCCATAGCTTTTATATGTTATTCTACTGTGTGATTCTTTCTGGTCTGGGGCAGTATGCCAGACTCTGAACAACCCAGTATCTCAAAGAATGTAGGGGCTAAGTACAGGTTTCCCATCTCAAACTCAATATGATCTATTCCTGTATCTGTTCTAATCTTTAAGCATTCAGTGTTTGGGGGACTGAAGTATGTGTGTGGGAGGGATGTGGGGTAGTGTGTGGGGGAAGTATGTGGGTGGGGGAGGGGTGGGGGCATATGCAAGTGCCCATTGTACATCCATACATGTATGTGTGGAGGCCAGAGGTTGACGTTGGGTGTCTTTATCTATCATTCTCCATTTTATTTTTGAGACAGTCTCTCACCAAACCTGGAGCTCGTGGATTGGCTAGACTGACTGGCCAACAAGATTTAGGATTTTCCTGTTTCCACTTCCCAGCACTGAGATTACAGATGTGAGCCATCATGCCCAGCTTTTTGCATGGGTTCTAGGAAGCTGAACCCAGATCCTTATGTCTACATGGCATGCACTCTACCCTCTGAACTATCTCCCCAGTCCCTTTCTTTTATATTCTTTATTCAAGAAAAGGGGCCGGGATAGTTTGTACACTTCCAATGAGGCCACCCCTCTAAAGAGTGTCAAAGAGTTTTGGCAGCTGAGCACAGGGCGCAGAATGATCAACATAGACCCCTTTACCTCCTTCTTCCCCCTTCTCTCCAATCTCATAATCAGGCTCTTATTGCTAATGCACCCATCTACAGGCAGGACAAATTCCTAATCAGACAGTGATCTACCTTTCCAGAAAGGTGCTCAGGAACCTACCTCTACCTCCCACAAGACCTTGCCAGAGAGCTGGACACAAGATGAACCTGTACCCTATCAGCTCACAATGCTCCAGACCATTCGATTGAACCCTGAGAGCCCCAAAATGTCTGCGTGCAGTGACTTTGTGGAGCACATCTGGAAGCCCGGGTCCTGCAAGAACTGCTTCTGCTTGCGGAGTGACCACCAGCTAACAGCTGGCCATCCCCAGCCCAGAGCAGGCAACCTGCCCTCTGTGCCTCGGCTGCCCCCCAGACCTGAGAACTACCGTCCAGAAGATGAAGGTGTGAATGGCTCTGCCTACTCGAAACCCACCATCGCTGTGAAGCCCACCATGATGAGTTCTGAGGCCTCTGATGTATGGACTGAGGCCAGCCTGAGTGCTGAAATCCCACAGGTGAGGCTGACTAACCCATGTGGTATTTGACAGGGCTGTTCCTATTCTGACACGTGGTGGCTGGCTGGCAGCCAGGGAAGGCTGTTGGAGCAAGAATGCTACAGGATGACTGCCTGCTAGTTTGCCCTGAGTTGACTGCTGTTTGACTCTTCCCATCTTCCTTTAGGCTAACATCCATTAGGCCAGTACTTCAGGATTTCCTCCAATGCTTTGGAGATTTATATAGGAGTAAGCAAAAGTAAAACAAAGCTTTAAATGATTGGCCAGTAGCTTCAGGTATCTACCCAAGTAGATATGCAGTCAGTGCATAATGATTGCCAGGCACCCAACACTCCTCCAACTCAGGACCACCATTATTTCATCTCCCTCCCCACCTGCCTCTTTTCCCTATTATTATTATTTTTTCCTATTGTTACATGTATTTTTATTTAACCACACTGGATAATATTGAAGTAATATAACAGATTATATATTTCACATGCAATCTCTTTGAACTGTTCTTTTTTAATAATTTATTGAAAATTTCATGCAGGCATATAAGCATATAAGGTGTTTTTTAATTTTTATTTTTTAATTTATTATTTTTATTTTGTGTATGCATGTATTACCTACATGTAGGTAAGTGCACCCATGTCGTGCAATGCCCGAGGAGGTCAGAAGAGGCCGTCAGATCCCTTGAAACTGGAGTTATGGACGGTTGTTAGCTGCCATGTGGGTGCTGGGATTCAAACTCAGGTCTTAACCACTGAACCATTTCTCCAGCCCAACATATAAGGTGTTTTGATCAAATTCATGCCCACTCACTCCCCTTCAACTCCTCCCATATCTCCCCATCACTCTTTTCTGATAACTTCATATATTCTTCCTCCTCCTCCTCCTCCTCCTTCTACCTCCCGAGTGCTGGAATTATAGGCATACACCACCGTGCTCTTTGCTACTCTACCATTCCCCCCTCTGAAGAAGTAACCCTAAAATCTTTTAAGGATTAGCTTAGAGCTCCCAAATACTTTTGACATTTTTGGCCTTTGGAACAGAGTATGTTGCTAAGAGGCCCAAGGACATTTTGACTTTTAGCCAAGAAACTGGCTACTTTTCTTTGGGGTCTTTTTACACTAACTGCCTAGCCAATTCCTACCTCCTACTCTTATCGCACCATCCTCTGAAGAGGTTGCCCAATTATTCCCTGTTATTTTTAAAGGAAACCACAAGCATTATTTCATTTTAGTACATGTGTTTAAAAGACAAAGGCTTTAAAAATACAACCACAATGCCATTATCACACCTAAAATATTAACAGCAATTCCTTATAGCCATTTAATACTCAGCCAGTGTTCATACTTCTAGATTTCCTTTTTAATGTGCGTATGTGTATATGTGTAGTGTATGTGTGTGCACATGTGTGTGGGTAGAATAGGTGTACCTGTGCATGCACGTGTGGAAGTCAGAGGTCCATATTGGGGTTTCTTCCTCAGTTACTTTAAAGGCAAAGGCCCAATGAACCTGAAGCTTGCCATTTCTCAGCTAGACAGTAAGCTCCAAGCATCCACTTGTCTCTGCTACCACCACCTCCCCAATGCTGGGGTTATGGGCACATGCCACCATACCGAAGCTTTTACTTGAGTGCTAGGGATCCTAACTCAGGTCCTCATACTTGCAGGGCAAGCACTTTACTCACTGAGCCATCTCCCCTGTCCTCTTACTACTAGTTTTGAAGTGTGGATTTTGCTAGTCTTATCTAGGATCACTAGACAGTTAAACCCCTAGAGGTTAGACCTTCTTAGTTGTTCCAAAAGAAATCTTTTAAAACAAACAGTTATGGAAAAGTGTAGGCCAGCACTGCTGGAGGCTGTTGTCTATGGATATCTAAGACATTCTAAGAACTCTTGCTCCACGTGACCTCTCTGAATGATCTACTTTTCCTCAGCCAGTGTGGTATGTGGATCAGGAAGAGTGTGTCACCGCATGTGAAAACAAAAGTCAGTTTTAAATCAGAGAAGCTTATTTGAAGACAGGCATTTCCTATGGAGACAACAAGAACTGTTCTATTTTCCCCAGCTGGTTACACCCATTCACCAGGCCACTTTTGACACCTTCAACTTTCACCTACATAAGCCAGTGACTCTGTTCAGAATCCCCTGGGAAAAGAGCCACATGCACATACAGGCCTCGTTTTGAAGCTATCTGAAAGTGCAGGGCGGAGGGGGGTGGGTTATGGAAGGAAAGGAAAAAGGGACAGTGACCTCATTGATGGGAATGACTAGGCCACATCTTCTTTGTCTTGTTACCCAACTAGTCCAACCACTTAGTCAGGCTGAAGTTGAGGTCACTGCTGTTAACTGGAAGAAAGGGCATCTGTGTGACATGGCCCAGGAAAGTCTACCAAGAAGCTAGGAAGCCCAGACCCAGATCAGAAACTATCTCTTAGCCTCCTGCCCTTCCCATTTCCCACCCGAGGTGCTTCTGAAAATCATTGACTTGTTTCTTCAGGAATGCATCCTAGCTGGATTATCCAAAGACCAACCAACACAAAGGGAACACTAAACAAAACCCCAAATTATTTTCCAGTCCTGTAGAACTATTTCACCCAGCAGTTGTGAGTGAAAAGGTGAAATATTCCTTTTCAACTTTTTCCTACCTCACAGGCTTAAGCCAAAAGCATTACAAATTCTGGGTGAGATGCATAGCTCAGCATCTAGGGAGAAAGCTGGCTCAGTGAGCCCCCAACCATGATCATAACACTGGGGAGGTCAGAAGGTAGGCATGGGCATTGCTTAGACAAGACAGTTGACAGTGTTATCCCTTGCCTCTCACCTTTTCTCTCTTGTTCTCTAATAAAGTATAATTTGTGCCTTTTAACCTTGGGACTGCGTAGGTCATCTGGAGACGAGCCCCCGGCAAGCTTCCAATCCCAAAGCAAGAAGATGCATCAATAGTTTACCTGGGCAGCTTCCATGGTATGCAGAAGCCTGCAGGTCCTTCTACCTGCACAGATGGCAGCTCTTGCTGCCCTCCATCCTATACCATGATCGGACTGCATAGCCTAGAGGCTCGAGGGGAAAGGAACACTGCCTTCCACCCAGTGAGCACTCAGGAGAAGGCAGGACGGGAAGAGAAACCATTTCTCCACCAAGAGCCGCCCTCAGCTCAGGAGAGCTTCCGTCAGAAGCTAGCTGCCTTTGGGGGGATGACATCTAACTGTCACAAGGGCACCAGGCCCTGCCCATCTCCACAGCCTTTGCGGGAGTCCCTGCCCTCTGAGGATGACAGTGACCAAAGATGCTCACCCTCTGGAGACAGTGAAGGTGGAGAGTACTGCTCCATTCTGGACTGTTGCCCAGGGACCCCTGGTGCCAAGGATGCCGTGCATGCCACCAAGGGCTCTGGCAGACATGGAGGGGACTGCTCACCCATGAGCTGGGAGCAGGAGACATGTGCAGGGTCAACAGAGGAGGAGAAACGAGTCCTGAGTTTCCCCAGGGAGTGTTGTGGCCAGGGCCCCACAGTGAACCCACCTCGCCTGGGCCCCAAGAAGCCATCCCTTAACTCAGAGGCTGCCAATTCTTCAGATGGCCTGTCTTGTGGTGGTGGCAGCAGTGGGGCCAGCAGCCCCTTGGCTCCCCACCTTGAGAGTGATTACTGCTCTCTTGTGAAGGAGCCAGCTCCTGGGAAGCAGCAGGACTCGAGCTGCCGGATGTACACTTCTAGAAAATGTGTGGGGCAGCCTGGGGAACTCCATCCCCCAGCCCACCCCAGGGAAGCTGTGCAACCAGAACCCATCTATGCTGAAAGTACCAAAAGGAAGAAGGCAGTCCCTGTGCCTTCCAGGCCCCAGGCCAAGGCAGAAGAGGCAGCAGCTGCTCAGGGCCAAGGCCAAGTATGGGCAGGTGATGCCTGGGCTCAGAAAACACCCTCTGGTTGGGGTCGGGAGAAGGAAGGCTCAGAAGTGGTTCCCCAGGTGGCGGCCACCATCACAGTCATAGCTGCCCACCCAGAAGAGGACCATCGGACCATCTACCTGAGCAGCCCTGACTCTGCAGTGGGTGTGCAGTGGCCACGTGGGCCTCTGAACCAGGACTTGGAGGTTGGTCAAGAGGAATCACCAGCTGCACAGGGACTGAGTACCAAGGAAAGCCATTCTCATAATGTAACTGAGAACACGCCCAAAGGAAGGCCAGCTATTCCTCCCAAGCTGTCCAAGAGCAGCCCTGGAGGGTCCCCAGTGTCACCATCAGCTTCCCCTCTGACTGACCTTAGCGATGGGAGTTCTGGTGGCAGCAGCACGGGACCCCAGCTGTCATCTAGAGTCCCTGCTGACCCTACTTCTTCCTGCCAGACCAATGGCATTGCTGTCAGTGACCCTGCCAAGTGCCCCCCACCCACCGCCTCCTCCTCAGCCTTGGACCAGAGGCGGCCAAGATACCACACTGGTACCTGGAGTCGGCAGTGTAGGATAGAGGAAGAGGAGGAAGTAGAGCAGGAATTGTTGACTCAAAGTTGGGAGATAGAGGTAGAAAATGGCGCCTTGGACCGTTCAAACTCCTCTACCTGGCACCATCTCCATCCCACTGATGGCTCCTCTGGGCAGAACAGCAAAGTCAGCACTGGAATGAGCAAATCTGCATCTTTTGCATTTGAGTTTCCCAAGGACAGAAGTAGGATGGATGCATTCTCCCCTCCTCCCCCACCTCCAAAGTCACGGTGAGTAGCAATGCCTGTGTGGGAAGGGAGAAAAAAATGCCAATCTGCAGGTCATTTCCCAGAAACTGAAAACTGTTACTTTTGCTACCTCTCTGGAAAACCTCGGGCCCAGCCTGGAGTTCTACCTACCAGGCACCAGTGTCTACTTAAAGGCCATTGTGCGTTATGTAAATTTCAGAGACCAGGAATCTTCAGAGACCAGGAATTGTTGCTCCTGTTTGTGTTCTGCAAACCTAAAGCACAAATTGGCTATTTGGAATAATCTTACAAAAAGCATGAGGGGCCTGGGGATGTACTGCAGTGCACTTGCTTAGTTAGCATGTACAATCTGGAGTGCTGTGTAAAAGCACCTGGGACTGGGGTGGGATGGGTAGCTCAGTGATAGAACCCAAACAGCATGGATAAGACCCAGGGTTTGAACTCCAGCATCACAAAACAAAAAGAAACAGAAAGCACTATGAGTTATTCCTCTTTTAGAATGCCCCTATTTTAATAATCTGGAGTGTGCATAACACACACACACACACACACACACACACACACACACACACACTTTTCTGAAGTGCGTTATTTTTTGGAAACTCTGAAACTTTTCATTGGTTGCAACATGGAAAAGAGGGCTAGAGGGGGTCACAGTACAGGAATTGAAAAGGTGAAGCCAAGTGTTTGCTCAATAAACTGCTACCATGGTGGTGATTGGGCCTTGGGGCCAAAATTAGAAAAGAGGAAACTTTGGTTAGTGAGCCTTAGATGTAGGTTTTCAAAGGGAAAAACATAGTTTTATGTTAGCTGAAATTCACAGTTCATAGCTTTATCCACAGCCTCTCAGCTCCCCTGCTAGTTTAATGTAACTTTCAAAGGCTCCAAGAAAATAAATGCCTTTTCTTAGCTTTTGAACTGTGCATGTATTTTAAATTCTGGGAAAACTATTTCCCCTGCTTTGGTGAAAGTAAAACTGATTTTTATCACAGAAAAGAGAAACCTGTTGTTTAATTGTGTGTGTGTGTGTGTGTGTGTGTGTGTGTCCAGCCCTTCCAGTCTCTCTCTAGTCGTGTTCTTTCTCTAGTCGTGTTCTTTCTCTAGTCGTGTTGCCAGTGTTCCTTTTTTAGTAGATGCACCTCTAGGTTGCTGTCAGAAACAAGGGAACTGACCATTGAGAAGCAGCCATGACACTTGACTTTGAACTTCAAGGTGTTTCCATCTGTGATGTGATCTAATGTGGGCTTGTTCCCGTGATCACTGCTTTGTTCTGGCCTTATATTTACTGCCCACCATGTAGTATACATACCTCCCAGTGCCTCAGGTGATTGCATACTCTCTCAGGTCTTTCAACTGTAGTTTTAAGTCAATGAATGAAAGAATGAATGATTGATTGATTGATTCAGTAGCTGTTCTCCTTTATAAGGTATTTACTATGGGCGAGGCATGAGTTTACAGCTGTTAGACATAATAACTCATTTAATTCTCAGAATAGCCCTGTGAGAGATGACATAATGGACTGAGAGCTGAAGGATTCTACATAAGCCCCTGGACGCCCACTCCTAACTTGTAGCGAAGCTGCTGAACTGATAGCACACATCTGGGCACATAGGAACGGAGCATGCTGTGGGAATGAAGCGCAGGCACCGTGCCTGTGTGCCCAGTTCTAGGTGCTGATGGAGCACCAGCTACAGCATTACAAAGCCAAGCTCCTGTTCCATATCTCATTTACTGCCTGGGCAAACCACATACTGTTAGGTTGAGTCCATAAAATGCGATTCTTGTACTTTTCTAATGGCCCATTATTTGGAATTATTTTTAACATGTATTTACATGCGTGCGTGCGTGCGTGTGTGTGTATGATGTTCGGGCAGGTATGCATGCACTCATGGCATGTGGAGGTCTGAGGACAGCTTGCAGGAGTCACTTCTTTCCTTCCACAATGTGGGTTTTGGTGATGAACATAGATCCTCAGGCTTGGCAGTAAGCGCCTTCACCGCTGAATCAGCTCTCTCCACACCCAATTATTGAAATGAGATGAACAACAGTTCACTGAGGAATCCATTATTATATAGGCAGAAACCACACCAGGGTATTAAATGTGACAGTGACACCCTTATCCTGTATGAATCTGCCCAGCTTAGTCCTAGAAACACCACCTGAGTCTTAGAAAAGTAACTGAAACTTTCTCACTTAAAAGATGTGGAACTTAGAGAAATTCTCATAGTCATAGTAACATAACTCAGGAAGAGTTTTAATTAGCATCTAGGGTGAATTTCAGAAATTCTTGATCCAGTATGTGGTGGCAAAACCCTTGGATTTTATATAGCTCAAATAAGGTCTTATATAGTTCAAATAAGGTTCAAACCTCAGAGGTTCTAGGTTCTAGTTATTAAAGAACAAATTTTCAGGACTTTTGGGAAAATTTAGAAGCTAAATTAAGAGAACAAAAAAGGACCATCACATTCCGTTTAAGGTTAGTCAAACTATTTCATTCAGGGAAGTATTTTTGTCTTTCAAGCATTACTGGCATTATCTTTTGAATCTTCACATGTCCTCTATGAGGTGACACAGGGCAGGCCTGGGACTATAAACTGACTCTGAATTCTGGAACTCAGTACTTACTGAATTCTTTTGAGGAGGGTGCAAAAAATCCCAAAGTATTCTGATCTTGGAGGCCAAGGTGTAGGCAAATCAGAATGTAAGGGAGAGCTCAGCCTCTAGTTGAATCAATACTAATCTCAGGGCACACACATAATTATGGCAAGCTAATACCATTTTTCCAAATGAAAATTGTGGCATGCCTTCAAGCAACATGGAAGGCTCGGCTGATTTCTGTGCATAGGTCCATCTGTTCACTGGGTCTTGTTTCTAGTGCTCTGCTTCTTTATTCGGATTGTATATGCTTAAAACCTAAGGAAAAGTTGTCATGTGCAGGGCTGGGTTACTTTCTACCCACAGAGTATGGGAGACAAATCTACCTACTTTCTTGGACCAACATAAAAGAACAGAGAATAATTTTCTGGGTTGCCTGTCATCCTTTATTTTTTAAAACACAAACTGACTCTGAACTAGAGGGCAAAAGTAGCTATTCAGAATCACTTGAATTTCCTGTGGTCTGGTATCGAGTGAGTGGCAAATAGCTTATCTGAGATATTTTCCTCTGAAAACTCCCGTTTGTGTTTGGGAGAAACCTCTTGTAATGTCCTGCAGGACAGAGATTCTCCAAGCCCATTCGAAATGTTGGTGCGTTCTCCTTTGGAAGTCTTTAGCTGTGTGCCTTCTTCCTCCTGGTAGGCAAGGGAAGACTCACCCTTTTTTCACCTGCTGCTGCCAAGGCAACTGCCTCCATCCACAAACTCAGATGACTTAGAATGGTGGATCTTACCAAATCTCTGGGTTACCCTGCCCCATTTTAGGACAGTGTTATAAGGATTGACAAGTACTTTTGGTAGAAAACAGAAACCCCTGCAGACTAGAAGGGCAGAATGGTAGTTCAAACATCACCTTCAAGACTTCAGGCAGTTCTATGAGGGCCACAGTGCCTGGAGAAACAATTAAGATGCACAAGAATCCAATTTCTTTCTGCCCTTTATTTCCCTGCAGATGCAAACTCAGTTTGACATGACTTATGACTTGGGAGTGACAAGGTCAGAAGATTTGTCTGTTTAGGGCAGACAAGTGGTTCACAAAGAAACCTCAAAGTAGAATGATAGGCTTGGGCTCAGAGGTGGACTTTGGAGTGTCCGCGGAATAAGAAAACAGATGGGTTTAAGTGGTTTCAGTTTCTGTATGGTCTGGGCCCAGGTAAGGCTAATCCAAAGAAAAGTTTCCCCAAGAAAGTGAAAGATGTTTTTGTTTTAAAGTTACTAATCTTAATTTTAATCTACTTGGTGCTCTTTTCCTTTCATCTTGAGGATGCTGGGAAGCATTGGCTGTTCTCTGTTCAGTCCTCTCCTAGTTGGAGGGACAGTGCCCTAAGTAGAGTTTGTTTCTGTCCATAGAGGTGATCACTTTGCTGGTGGGAGGAAGCAATGTGACTTCTTTGTGTGTTCTCTCCTGTAACATGGTGGCACAGTATGACCCTGAGGATGGGAAGAGAATGAATGAGATGGCTATTTGTTTCCAGCTTCCATATCAAATCTGATTAAAGCTCCAAACACTTTGTTCCCACTACACTTTCTATTGTAGGGAATTACAGGGTGGCACCAGTGTGTAAGAAATCCCACAGTCTCCAGTCTTCATGGTCTTATCTAGGTGACAATTCGGAAAAACCCCAGTTTGTATTAGGAAACACTGTATTGAGGGAATCTTCTCTGTAGTTAGCCATTCTGACCCAGTTTAAATAAGCAGGCTAGAGGTGAAGTTGGTTGAGGAGAATGAGTACTGGGCATATTCCATGGGAGAAATTGCACACCCCCTTGCACAGTTTGGCAAATGGAACAAAACATATGCATCAATAATGTAAGTTTATACTGTTATGCCAGAGGTAAGTCAGCTTACAGACAGAAGCGGGGAATGGGGCATGTCATATGCCATGAGCAGGGCATGCTGAAATTTATTTCTATCTTCTTACTTTGTTTGAGACAGAATCTTACTGTGCAGCCCTGGATGACCTAGAACTGTCTTATTTTGACCAGGCTAGCTTTGAACTCAGAGATCCACCTGCCTCTGCCTCCTGAGTGCCAGGATCAAAGGTGTGTGCCACTACACCCAACAGCAATTCCTATCTTCTTGTTCAGTAATGTTTTTCTAATTTTACATTCCAAAATATTTTATTACTAAATTTGTATTCTACACAAAATGTATAATGAGCTTTAAATATACATATTTATGGCCACATTAAAATTGTAAGCTCAGCCAGTCGTGGTGGTGCATGCCATCCCAGCTCTTGGGAGGCAGAGGTATGCAGATCTCTGTGAGACTGAGGCCAGCCTGGTCCACATAGTACCTTCCAGGCAGGCTGGGACTTGGGAGACCCTGTTAAAAGAAAATTGTAAGCTCAAGCTGCCATAATAGTA